GTATCATACTAACTCTTAAATTCATGCACAGAAGGTACAAGAAATTTAGAAATAAATCCATCCATCCTTCCCCTTCTCTCTGCAGCTACAGAGTATCGTAAGCAGTATAATCCCACTACGCTAAGAGAGGGACTGGATAACATACAGGGCATGCCTCTCCTAAGCATCTTAGCTAGATGAACAAATTCACCTCCACAGAGAAGTCTTACTAGCTGTGTGTCATCTCAGGGAAGATTTTGCATCTTCCCCTGCTGAGCCTGGTTACAGGGGTCCAGAAGTGTATGTTACAAACTGGCTGCACAAGTGTAGCACCACGTGTGTTGCCTTTTCTAACATTTACATTTTATTTAAAATTTTTTTCCACTCATGTCCAGAGGAAGGCACTCTTAATTTACAAATGTAACCAAAACAGATTTAAATTCAACTGCAAGCCCATAAGCCTTTTCTGACAAAGGACTTACTTTGCAACTAATACTAATCTAATTTTGATGTTAAACTGAATCTTTTAAAATCTAAAAATGTTAGACATCCAACAGCAGAAGACAGAAACTAAATTGAAAGGTAAACATTGAACTAGCTCACTCTTCCTTAGGCAAAGTACGGAATGCTATGAAATCCTAAGCCTTGAGAAAGTCAAAGATGAGAGCAATTTTTTTAATGGACCATCAGATTACTCCACTTTAATGTTCAGTGAGATGACTTACAGAGTGCTGGAAGCAGCCTTTCTACAAGAAATGAATAGACAAGTGAGCAGTGTGCTTTGCCTCCTGATGTTATGGCACAAGGCATGTCACTCAAGGCATGGCTCCAAAACACACGCAAATGGAAATACTGACAGAAGTCCAGATACTGGACACACATGTTCCTAGTAGGCTGACACAGCTGCTCCATGAAACAGGTTACATTAAGCAAAGCAGAATGCTGTCGTTTGGGGTGGGGATTTTTTTGCCCAACACGTTGAAAAAGGTGGATACATAGCTACCGGATAGTAAATCTATTAACAGAGAATGAAGATCCACAAGATTTTGGTTGTGCTAGATCATCTCAATCATAGCATACCTCCGCTTAAAACAGCTGCATTGAAGAACAAGATTGGTAAATTAAAAAGGTAAGAAGTATAGTCTATGCATGCTGGAAATCCCCTTAGCAACTGCAATTTACCTGAAAAATAATACAAGATGAAGGTGCTTAGTATCATGTCTTTCCTGAAGTTCCCCTGTTTACAAAACAAACTAACAGATTTAACAGACATCACAACAGTCTGTGAATTTCTTATGTATGTGTCTAACTGAGAAATTCAGGCACAGAAACAACTGAGAAGCCAGCAAAAAATTATACATATATACGGTAGCTGTCTTCACAAATCAGGAACTTCAATTCAAAATGGGTATTTAGTGACACTGTATGGTTTTGTGCGTAATAACCCAAGTTCACCCTCTACCACTTCTGAGTAGCAACAAGAGCCATGTGTTGTATGATCCGTTTCTTTGAGATTTTTCCCCCTAAATTAGCTCATCATGTAACATTTTGTGTTTATTTAAAAAAAAAATTAAAAACTGAACTTTTTCCCTAAGAAAGCAAATAACTAAATATATAAATAAACTAAAAGCTTCAAGACTTCTCTATCTTTTTCACCTGTCATAAAGAAAATAGATAGAAAGGGAACAGGGAGACTGATTACTGAAGGAGTAATTCAGTGTCAGAGTTCTGATAATATCATAAACCTTTATGGGTCTGTCAAAAATTCTTGGCTGAATTACAGGCATGTTATCAATCTCACTAAATCCATTTTCCATATATATTATCAGTGTCTCTCTGGCCATTATTCTATGTACAAAAACAAGGCAATATTAGATTTTGAAAATTTCTACTGGGATTAAGTTTGCATTTATTTCTTTCCAGTAGAATTTTAAGCCGGAGAATCAGAATCACAGCTCTGATTCACTTCTTTAACCTTCCCAGAAGAAACTTTTAGGAATATGAAAGACAAATAAAAATTTAACTTCCTTAAAGATGATAAACAGGGAACATTTTTGTTAACTCTCTACCTTATTTTGTGTATTGGTTGCCAAGTTTTCTCTCTTTTTCCTCATGTTGTAAAGGGAGCCCATTCACCTACCAAAACAGAACTTGCACGTACTTGCTTATTTACTGTCACCAGTTCCCAGTACTCGCACCACAGGAGAGAATGATGACCAACCCTTATAAGCATTTCACTGGATTAATAGATGTTAGCAACAGCTGTGTTAGGCAATAATTGATCTAATCTGTCTAACTTGGGCTCATAAATACTTGTACTGGGTGTCCAGAGCAAGGTGCTGGTAGCATGAGGGCTACAGGATGGCCTCTGTGGGAAAAGACCAGGGGCTGTCCCATTCTGGACACAGACAGTTCCAGCCAGATCCAATGGACACACCACAGGACACAGCTGAGCCCCTAAGCCAAGTGTGTGGTGCCACTCTAGAAACTTATGAAAGGAAAAAAAAATACCAAAGAAAGGAGGAGAGAATAAAAAGAGTGAGAAAGAGCAGAGGGAACCCCAAGGTCCCGGCAGGAGGAGGAGGAGGTTCTCCATGATGGAGCAGATCTCCACGCTGCAGCTTGTGAAAGACCCACACTGCTACGGATGGATAATCCTGAAGAAAGTGCAGCCCATGGAAACCTCACACTGGAGCAGAGGAAAAATGTGAGGAAGAAGGAGAGAAGCAGCTAGAAATTGCTGTGTACTGGCTATAACTTCCCCCTCCTCCCTGCACAGCTCAGGACTGGGAGAGAAATCTGTAGTGGAGTAAAGTTGAATTTGGGAGAGGGGGGAAGGCAAGATGTTGTTACAATGTCTTTGTTTCTCACTGCCCAAGTATATATTGGCAAATAGTAAATTAATCTTCCCCAAGTACAGTCTGTTTTGCCCACAATAGTAAAAGATAATCAATTTCCCTATCTTTTCTCTCGACCCATGAGCTTTCTTCTCCTATTCTCTCATGATGTCATGCTGTGAGAAGGAGGGAGTGATCAGCTGGGTGGGCGTTTGGCTGTTAGCCAAGGTTAGCCCCCCACAACACTTCACAGTGTCTTTCTGTTTTCTCTTTTTAGTCTGTTCAGACTAATTCAATATTTTAATTCATTAAAGAGTTACCTGCCAGTGACTACCACCTTTTGCCCATATGGGAATCATACAACACCTATTACACTAGCAAGGATACTGACGCAATTTCTCTAAATAACATCAGCCATACTGAGTATACCAAATGCCAAACACTTTGCAGCATTTTAAATGATTTTACAAAAGTGTTCCTTTAATTGTATGTTAGGCTTTTGCCCTTGAAATGTTGATTCTGGGAAACTAATTTTATAAACAAAATCAGAAGAGTTTGTGTAGCCTACCTCCCAGGTCACCACAATTATAAATTAAAATCCAGCCTCCAGAGAAACAAGGAAACACAGTAGACAAAGCCAATATTTTTCTCCTTGACTATTTAGACCATGGTGACATGATGTTTCTTCCATTTTTCTACTGTTGTACGAATTCATTTACACAGCTCCAAATTTCTTTCCGTAGATTGTAAGTGAACCATTAACCAGTAGCCTACACTCAGTTTTAGTGACCTGCAATCCCATTTAAAAAGAGAACCCCAGAAGGGAATGATATTTTTGACCTTTCCAAGAGAAACACTGGTCTCTTAGGACTCAGCACTGGAAAGAGTTACATGTACAGTTAGGTTTACATGCAGAGACTACCCATAATGCATACACATGGGTAAGCCTTTGTACTACAAGGGCTTTAGAAGAAACTGGGAAAATACTCATTGATTTTAACATACCAAAGACTGGGGATAAATTCTCTGTTCCAGTCCGCAGGTTTGAATATACTCACTTTTCCTAGATGTTTATATTGAATGCCTTTGCCTGTTCAGGATATATGTTTTTCTGATTCCATTATGGTTCCTTTTGGACAGTTAAGTTTTATCTGGTTTGTCCCCTATCCTTGCTATTTGATGGAGGAGAGGAAGAAGAAAGGAGACCTACACTGTTTGTGCTGCTGCTAACATTTCTATGCGGTGTCCATTTATGATGTGAAGCTAACATTCACCTTTTGTTTCTGTTTCCCAGATTCCCATCATTTTGTAACAATTCTTTTCAGATAGACTGCCTTACAGTGAAAAGCCAGACAGGAAAGTTACCTCGGAACAGAATATAAGCATTGCCAAACCAGATCTCACAAGTGTAATCCGCTCCAACATTGCCTGTAAATCGCCAGTAACAGATGTTTACGGAAAAAGTAGGAATCAGTAAAGAAGAGCCTGACACTTCTCCCTAAAGGTTACCCCACTCATCCTCTGGGAATCAGGATATTAAGATCCTGAAAAGTACAGATGACATCTGAAACTGTCGTTAGGAATCAGACAGTGATTTCATTTCTCTGTGAACCATAACTTGCCGAGCAGCTGTGGCAGAGAGCAGTTATGAATCCAACACAAGAAACAATGCTGGTGCATGCCTGGGAGTGCGTTTCTCAGTCTTTGTTCTATATTCATACCATGCGTCAAACATAATATCCCTTTCAGACAGATACTTATGCTCATAGCAACATGTAGTGTTGTTTATAGAATTCTCCATACTCTTTTTAAAGGAAAACAGACAGTGGGAACAAATGAAGGTTAGCATGTGAATTTGAGTGTCAAGATGCACTCCACTTTCACTGAAAATAGCTATTTTCAGCCTTCTCCTTATCACTACTGGCCAAATCCCCTTTGAGATCATGTCCGCCCTCATACATCAGAATAAATACAAGTAAAATTTAGTCACTTGAAAACCACAACAAAGTGGCTTGGTCTCATTTAACTGCTGCTAAGGCATTTTCAGTGACACTACTACTAAAATATTGTTGCTAAAAACTGCAAGGAATGTTATTTAATCTGTTAAGAAAAATATTAATACTGTGATAAAATACTTTATATGCCAAATAAAAAAGATGGAAGGAACATAGATTGTTATCTTACTTCAAATGGGAGCTCTGTTATTTCCATATTTCCAGACAAATCCAGTTTTTCCAGATTCTCACAATCACCCAGTTCTGGAGGGACTGACTTCAAATTATTGAAACTCACATTGAGCACTCTGAGGTTTTTTAAGCAGCCTGTGAGAGAAAGATAATTAAAATCCATGCATTAAAAAGAGTTTGAGGGACAAAGTAAAAAAAAAAAGCATACTCTGTTTAGCAATGAAAAAACTCCTTAATGCGATGATGAGTAAGAGATTAACGAATATTTTCCGCAGTGGTCACTAGCACTGGGGAGGAAGGCAATAATACTGTGCTATATTTGTATGGCTTCCCATCATGGCAGTGAGTTTGATGAGAGCTTGAAAGGAGGCAGCAAAGACTTGCAAAGATCTTGATTCCACCACGGATGAGATACCTCAGACCTCAGTTGAAACTCAAAAAGCTGGCTTTTGGTTTGACCACTTTAGAAAACCTTCCTACTAACTGAAAAGCATTTTAATATTTTTAATAGAATCTGTTCATTGGGAATAATAATTCCTACTGAACTTTTACATCAATAATTCTGTCTTTGGTATCCAACATTGCATACTTCTGATTATGAAAGATAATGGAAGTGTGCTTTTGTTTCATTTTTTTTTTTTAACTGCAATTTATGATTCTTGTTTGCTTAATTTTAAGGCCCTTATAATATTCTAGGTGACATTAGTCACGGTGTGCTTTCTGTTTCTTCAATTTACTGCATTACATAATCTTCAGTAAAAACAGGTTTAGAAACATTATTAGAATGAAAAATGCATTATACTGAAAAAAATGGAAATCTTTTTTGACACAGTTAAAGAGGCAGGAAGTAAGGAATTTGAATATATCAAAAAGCTGAAGTGTTAGTAAACAGATCTTTAAATACATATACAACAAAATGAGAACATTCTATGGACAGTTGTGCTGTCATATTATATGGACAATCATAGAATCACAGAATCACAAAATTGTTTCAGTTGGAAGGGACCTTCAAAGATTATCTGGTCCAAAGCCCCATCCAACCTGCCTTTGAACACTTCCCATGATAAGGCTTCCACAATTTCTCTTGGAAACCTGTTCCAGGGTCTCACCACCCTCATCATAAAAAATGTCTTCCTTATATCTAGTCTGAATCTACCTTCTTTCAGTTTAATGCCATTCCCCCTTGTCCTCTCACTACAGGCCCTGGTAAAAAGTCTCTCTCTGTCTTTCTTTAACTATTGAAAAGCTGCAGTAAGGTCTCCCTAGAGCCTTCTCTTCTCCAGGTTGAACAACCCCAACTCTCTGAACCTTTCTTCATGTTAAAGGTGCTTCAGCCCTCTGACCACTTTCATGGCCCTTCTCTGGATCTGCTCTAACAGCTCCACGTCCTTCTTACACTGGAGGCCCCAGAGCCAGATGCAGTAGTCCAGGTGAGGTCTCACAAGCATGGAGTATAAGAGGAGAAGCACTTCCTTTGACCGGCTAACCACACTTCTGTTGATGCAGGTTACAACTGGCTTTCTGGGCTACAAGGGCACATTGCCATCTCATATCCAATTTTTCATCCACCAGTATCCCCAAGTCCTTCCCTGTGGGGTTGCTCCCAATGCATTCATTCCCCAGCCTGTATTGATATTGGAAATTGCCTCAGCACAGTTGCAGGACCTTGCACTTGGCCTTGTTGATTTCATGAGATTCACATGGGCTCATTCCTCAAGCCTGTCAAGGTCCCCCTGGATGGGATCCCTTCCCTGAAGTGTATCAACTGTATCACTGAGCTTGGTATCATCTGCACTATTCCCCTCTAATCAAGGATATTCCTGTGATATTTGCATCTGAGCAGTGATAGAGTACAGCATTCACAAGGAAAAGCAACAGGAAGAAACTTAAATGCAATTCAGCAGCTGGAAATCGGGGCAGAATAGCAACTGGTGTCAACAGGTTCTCAAAACAAACCATATATTGGCAAACCAGGACAAGACATACACAAGAGTTACAATTTTATATTATATAATTCTTCTATTATTAATCAATTTTTTAAAAATAACCTGGTGTGTCATGGGATTTGGATGACACTGTAGAGAATCTCTATACAGTAGATCCTAAGTGCTCAAAACAGTGTCATAATAGTGAGCTTATGCTTAAGGAACTAATGTTTAGCTAAACTCCCTCAAAAACAAAGTTGTTTCAGAGCTGCTCACCTTTTGCGATGTGTAGAAATCCTTACGAGAAGCCAAATGGTGCTTCCACAGAAAAGAACAGAGAGCAAACATAGAAAATTGAAAGCCCCATGTTGTTTTTCCCTGAGAAAGTGTTGTCAGAGGCAGAGGCATGCAGTTTGATGACCAATACTAGCAGCCACCAAATCACATCTCATTTCACATGAACCCCAGAATGTTGTCTTCAAATGATGGCTGGACCACTCAAATCTTTCTCACAAGTGGCAGACAAGCCATATATGGTAAGAACTCTGTTGTATTGTACTCTACAGGTTGCAACAGATCAAAAACCAGAAGCTTCCATTCAGCTTTATCCCAGTTTTAGCTCTGCTAGAAATAGAAGCTGAGATGGTATTTCAAAATTCAGCTATCCTTTTAGGAAGGTAATCTTGTCTTACCTATTGGCTGTGAAGTGCTGTTTTATTTAAAATCGCAGAAGTAAAATTTTCCTTAAGAGTACAAAAGGCATTGTTTTGGCAGTACCTTACTGTCCCACAACGGTCACTGGGCATGGTGCAAGACAGTAACAGAAGCAACATAATGGTGTAAATGTGTGAACAGTCTTATTTCCAGATTTTTAAGCACATAAAAATAATAAAAGTTTAGCCTACCCAGGATGAAACCTCACCGGGTTTAGTATCACGGTGTAGACAAATGAAGGTGTTACATCACATGCTAAGGGGCACAAACATCAACTCACCGCCTCCTTGCAACAAAATAATCACTGAAGCAAAAATGCTTTAAAATAAAATAGAGACTCAAAAAATCATAAATTTATTCTTCATCCAATTAATCCTTCAGTGAAGGAGAGCAAATCCCATTGGAATAATAAAGGAACTACTTACTCGTTAGCATTGCAATGTTTTGTCTTTTCTTTTAGGAATAGAATATTGTACTGGGTCTTTTTGGAATGGAGTTAATTTTCTTCATAGCAGCCTGGATGGTGCTATATTGTGGATTTGTGACTAAATAGTGGTGATAACACGCCAATGTTTTTGCTGTTGCTGAACAGTGCTTACACAGTATGAAGGTCTTCTTTTGTTTCTCACTCTGCTGACCCAGTGAGTCAGCTAGGGGTAGGCAAGAGGCTGGGAGGGGACAGGGCCGAGACACAGGACCCAAATTGGCAAAGGACTGTACTGTAGCATGACATTCAGCAGTAAAAGCTGGTGGAGGGGTAGAAATGAGATGAAGTTTTCCAAGGTAGCCATTGCTCAGGGACTGTCTGGGCTTTGGTCAGCTGGTGGTGACTGATTGTTTTTGCACCACTTTCTTGTTTGCTTGTTTGTTTTTCTTCAGTTATTAAACTGTCTCCATCCTTATGCATGAGTTGGCCTTCCAGTTCTCTCCCTGTCCTGCTGTGGGAGACTGAACAAGCAGCTGCAGGGGGCTGAGCAAGCTGTATGAGGCTTGGCTGCCTATGAGTGCTAACCACCAGCAAATAAGCTTGCTAATTTTTCAGCTGCTGAAATTTCTACCTCTCAGCTCCATTAGTAGCTGGTGAACTAAAGTGGACAAGGTATCTACTGTCACCAACACCCTAGTTGCCCCCTTGTCTAACTCTGCTCAGATGGTGCATCTCCAGTGTGTAACTAGGAGACATGGAGCAAAATTGCTTCCAAATAAAAAATCTCAAAAATTTGACAGCCTTTCTGGGCAGAGTGAAGGAGACAAGCACAGCTTCCCATTTTGATTTTCCTGCCTTCTGAAACCATGCTTTTTCAAGATTTTTTTTCTCCTTTCACAGTTTCTAGCATATATGTCAATGTTCACAGTATTGTTTGTCCCAGCTTGCAAGTGTGAGAAATCAAGTAGAAGATGCACCACATTCTTTCTTGTCATATATAATCAGGTTCTAATCTGACAGGAGCACTCTACAGAATCTGCAGTCAATTACTAGTAATTTCTGTGGCTCAAGTTATGAAAGTTGCTAGAAGAAGCCATGAGTCTTGCAATGCTGTTTAATTCTAGTAACAAACTAAGGATAACATAGCTAAGCGGGATACAGTTCACCAAGATCTACCTGCAGGAAGCAATCTCTTGCGGTTCTGTGTAGTGGCTGTTTTCTCACTTCTGGGCTCTCCAGTTATGCCACCCAACAGCTCAGCAGTAGTCAAGCACTAACCCGCCTTATAGGATCATAAGACGTATAGGGTGTCTCCCTCTACGTCAAAGACCAGCTGGAGCACATGGAGCTCCTTACTGGGGTTAGATGAGGAGCCGACTGAGAGTTTATGGGCCAAGATCAGACGGAGACCAGGGACAGGCACGATTACAATGGGGGTCTGCTACAGGCTGCCTGACCAAGAAGAACAAGTGGATGAGGCCCTCTGTAGACAGACAGGAGCAGCCTCATGCTCACAAGCTCTGGTCCTGATGGGGGATTTCAGCCACCCTGATGTCTGTTGGAGGAATAATACAGCTCAGCACAGGCAGGACAGGAAGTTCCTGGAATGCGTTGATGACGACTTCCTTCTCCAAGTGATAGAGGAGCCAACCAGGAGAGGGCTTATGCTGGTCCCTGTTCTTACCAAAAAGGAAGGGCTGGTGGGGAATGTGGAACTTAAGGGCAGCCTGGGATGGAACAACCATGAGATGGTGGGGTTCAAGATCCTTAGGGCAATGAAGAGGGTGCACAGCAAGCTCACTACCCTGGACTTCAGGAGAGTGGACTTGGGCCTTTTTGGGGATCTGTTTGGAAGAGTCCCATGGGATAAAGCCCTGGAGGGAAGAGGGGGCCAAGAAAGGTGGCTAATATTCAGGGATCACTTCCTCCAAGCTCAGGAGCAATGCATCCCAACAGAGAAGAAGGCAGGCAAAAATGCCAGGAGGCCAGCATGGATGAACAAGGAACTCCTGGGCAAAATCAAACAAAATAAGGAAGTGTGCAGAGGGTGAAAGCAGGAACAGGTAACC